CGGCTCCCGCCCCTGGGACGGCCTGCCAGGCTCCTGCACCAGGGCCCGTGACGCCGAGTCAGCGGCGAGCCCGCTCGCTGGAGCAGGATGGATCGTAGAGTCCCAGATGTCCCGGAGGCGCAGGTCCTCATCGACTTCATGGACGACGGGAACGGGCTGCGGTGGCACGCGCGGCTACTCATCATCCAGACGCCCACGCCAGGGGCCTGGATCGGCAGCACTCCCGACTTCTCGGTCCAGCGGATCGACCTGAATGTGCATCGTGTGATCGCCCTCGCCCGGGGACAGCCGTACCCCCCGGCGCAGTGGGCGGAGTCGTACGTCTTCGACAACCCCATCCCCGACGCCGACCTGACGCGCGTCAGGCAGCAGGCGGCCGCCCTGGCCGCCGTGCTGGGCCAGGCGCCTCCAGCGGGCCCAGCGGCCCCGGGCGGCGCGGGGGTGTGGCGAGTGGCCGACCCCGCCGCTCGCAGCTTCGGCGACGAGGTGCCGGCCCAGATCCTCTCGGACCGCGCCACCTTCATGACGCCCGAGGCGGCGGCCGACGAGGAGTACCTGAGCGGGCTCGTGCTGATCGACAACTGCTGGACCTTCTGCCAGCTCGTGGCCGACGACGACCGTGCTGCCTGGGAGCGGGCGCTGGTTTCTGGCAATCGACGGGACGATCGCGTGACAGGCGACGCCCGCGAGCCCGTCTCAGGCCGTCGCTTCATCTCTTTCGCCGACTCTTTCGGGCTGCAGCACGCGGCGGCCGAGCCGCCCTTCCCCTTGAGCGGCAGCCGGGTCACTCACGAGTTCGTGAAGACGCTCCGCGCCACAGGCATGGAGTGGATGTCGCACCACCTGGACTTCATCCACAAGTCGGGCATCTCGCCCAACAGCAACATCACGCGTGCACATCGTAGGCTCACAGAGGCGTTGCACGCCTTCCAGCAGCAGGACATGTTGAACCTGCCCAGCCTCTCAGGGGTCGAGATCCTGGTGCGCTACCTGCCCAGCCTCTCAGGGGTTGAGATCCTGGTGCGCTACCTCGTGCAGATCGAGATGGCGGTGGCCCGCAACCCTCGGAGCCCCGACTTCCAGGACCTGGACGCGGTGGTGGCCTCGACAGTCAATGAGTATGGCGGCCTCGTCCTTCCCGAGTACTCGAAGTACATCGCTCAGATCCAGAAGGACGAGGCCTTCACTTTGAAGCAGCAGCGGCAGTGGCGCGAGGAGCAGTCCACGCGCTCCCGCGGCCGTGGCTCTGGCGACGACGCAGGCGGCGGCGCTGGCGGCGAGGACGGCGGCGCTGGGCGCTTCCGGGGCCGCGGGCGCGGCCGTGCAGGTGGTGGCGGACGCGGCGGTCGGGGTGACGCCCCGGCCGCCGCGCAGGGATGACTCCTGTCGCGCGGGCTGCGGGGAGACGGCGCTCGCCCCGGCGCCGTTCGGCCAACGACACCTCCGCAGTCCGCTTCGCAGGCGGGCGCACGAGGGGGCCTGATGCCGAAGGGGCTCCTCGTTTTTTGACAGGTCGCGCTCACGGCGACCCCTTTCCTCTGCCGCTCCTGGGCAGATCGACGCCGAGGGAGGTGCTGCCCCTGAGCCTCTCCTCCGGCGTACGGCGGCGGTGCAACCAGGCGATCATGGCTCTGAACGACCTGGACGCCCCGCTGGCGGCTGCGCGGCGACTCGCCTCGGTCCTCCCGGCGAACGCCGCCCAAGCATCTGTACTGCAGCGTGTCCATCAGCGAGTGGCCGCCTTCGGCGACCCCATCGGCGTGGACGGTGATGACGCGCTCTGTTCTCTCCTGAAGTCCAAGGACGTCTACAGCGGCCGGCCGACCCCAGTTCGGCCTTATGAGCCGCGCCTCCTCAAGGTTCTCGACAGCGGCATCTCGCCGCAGCCGATCCGCTCGCTGGTGCCGCCCTGGCTGCTACCGCTGATCAACGAGCCGGAGAAGCACATCTTTCGGTCGCAGGCGGTCCTCGACAGCATGGTGGAGGCCGGCGAGCTCCCCCCCATCTACCCCTACTGGGATGCGAACCTGCGGCGGGACCCGGTCCTGCGGCTGGGCCTCTTCAAGCAGCTCATGCGCATTGGCCTCGTCGGTGCGCGCACGCGCTGCCGTGCTCGCGCCAGCATCTTCTTCGTTGGCAAGAAGGACGGCTCGCTGCGCATGGTGATTGACGGCCGCGAGCCTTCGGCTCTGCATCGCCGCCCGCCTCGGACCGAGCTCGGTTCGGCGGCGGCCCTCAGCGGCCTCTGCCTCGACGCGGACTTGCTGGGCAGCGACGGGCAGGGCTACCACGGGGCCAGCGCTGACCTGCGCCAGGGCTTCTACCAGATGCAGTGGCTCGAGATTGGCAGCTGGTTCTGTTTCGACTACCCCATGCCCATCCGCAACTTCGACACGGATCAGGTGTACGACGAGGTGCACCGCCGCTTCGTGCAGGTCGATCCCGACACCGTGGTCTACCCGTGCTTCCAGGGCCTCGCCATGGGCTGGAGCTGGTCGCTCTTCATCTGCAACGGCATCACCGAGGACGTCACTCGCGTCGGCATCAGTCGGGCGCTGTGCATCGCGCCCGAGGAGGTCAGGATGGTCTCCGAGCGCTCCCCCTGCGCGCGCCTCGGCGCGGGCGAGCTCGCTGGGGCCTCCTACGTCGACAACGCCAATGTCGTCGGGTCGCCGCGCCGCCTGGTCGACGCGGCGCTGGAGGCTATCCTGCTCGAGTTCGAGCGCCGCGGCCTGGCCTACCACGAGGTGTGCTACGCCACGCGGGACTTCGTCTGCTGCGGGGTTCGGTTCGACTTCAGCGACGGCCGCGCGGTGCCGCAGCGCGAGCGGGCCTGGCGGCTGCATCGGGCGGTCACCGCCCTGATCGACCGCCGCGGCTGCACGCCTGCGGCCATGGAGGTTGTGCTGGGGCACGTCGTGCACCACTTCATGCTCATGAGGCCGGCCCTCGCTGTCCTGAGCTCCTTGTACCGTGTCGTGTATGCGCCGGGCGACTACTGCCACTTCGACGCCGAGCAGCTGCGCGAGCTGGGGCTTGTCAAGGCCCTCATTCCGCTCGCTGGTGTGGACCTCGGCGCACCATGGCACCCGTGGGCCTACTGCTCTGACGCCAGCCTGTGGGGCTACGCCCTGGCCACTTCACGCTTCGACGAGAGCGAGCTCAGGGACATCGGCGCCTACCGCGAGCGCTGGCGCTTCGTCGCCATCGACCGCCACGCCGATGACCCGGGCGATCCGCCGGGTACTGAGGTTGCCACGCAGGCCGGCTTCACTGCCGGCAGCGACGACGCCGCTGTGTTTGCCGGGCTGGATTTGCCGCCCCGTGCGGGTCGGTCGTCACCGCGCCTGGCAGCACGGCGGAGCCGAGCGGCTCGGGTCGACGTGGAGGCGCCGGCCTCCGCCGCCTGCAGGGGCGGCATCCCGGCGCTGCCCGACGCCGCCCTCGCAGCTCACAGGTGGCAGCTGGTGGTCCGCGGCGCCTTTCTCTTCTCGGCCCCGATCCACATCCTCGAGGGCCGGACGACGCTGCTGGGCCTCAGGCGGGCCACCCGCTCCGTGGCGGCTCACGGCTGCCGCGTGCTGTCCATCGGCGACAACCTCTCGTCCATGATGGCCTTCGAGAAGGGCCGCTGTGCCAACCCGGTGCTCCGCCAGCTGGCCTGCCAGGCTGCCGCGCGGCAGATCGCCACTGGCATCCAGCACTACCATCGGTACTTGGAGAGCAGCCGCAACCCGACCGACCACGACTCCCGGGCGGCCGACCGCTTCGAGCTCGAGCCGGGCCAGACGCAGCGCGGGGCGCCGCGCGACCTGGCCCCGGCGCCCCCCCCAGCGCCGGCCGCCTCGCCGGCCGGCGGCGCGGGCCCGCACCGCCTGGGCGCCCGGCCGCGAGAGCGGCGCCGGGCCCGCCACGTGCTCGAGCTCTACGCCGGCTGCGCCCGCCTCACGGCCGCCTGTCTCGACGCGGGGCTGCAGTCGTGGGTCCCAGTCGACATCTCGCGGGGGCCCTGGCACGACCTGTCCGACAAGCGCATCATCAGCGTGATCCGCTCCCTGATCGTGCGCCGGGACGTGTGGCACGTCCACTTCGGCACGCCGTGCACCCCCTTCAGCCTGGCCACCCCGGCGCGCAGCCGGGCCAAGCACTTTGCCTCTGGTAGTGCTTCGGTTTCGTTCACCATAGACATGCTTCGCCTGTGTGAGCGATTTGGCGTGCGCTGGTCCGTCGAGAATCCCTCTTCTTCACGTCTCTGGCATTCTCCCGAGGTCACATCTTTCTTGGATCGTCACTGTCACTACTTCGTTTATATGCATTATTGCCACTACAACTGCCGCTACCTGAAGCCCACAACCCTTGTCACCAACCTGAAGCCGCTTCAGGCCCTCGAGGCCAGCTGCTCCCGTGATCACGTTCACGAGGTCCTTGCAGGCAAGGTTCGTCTGGGTCCCAAGAGTGCCTCCGTCTGGAAGACCAGCCTAGCCGGGCGCTATCCGGAGGCGTTGGCTCGGAAGTGGGCAGGCATCCTCCGCGAATGCGCTCCCGCGGCAGGCCGTCTCGATGGTGCTCGCCCTGAATGCCGAGGGGAGGCTCAGCTGGCAGCCGCCGCCGAGTGCGACGACTGGACGCGCACGCCAGACCCCGTCTGCCCCGCCGCGGGCCACCAGGAGTGGTCGCCCGACCAGCTGGGCTGGGGCAGCTGCGCGGCGCAGGCGAGAGCGGCCGAGCGGGATCGCCGCCGCCGCTTTGCCCCAGCGCCCCGGCACGGAGTCGCGGCACCCCCTGGGCCGCGAGGCCCCGCGCCGCCGCTCGCGCCTGGCTGTGGGCTCGCAGCGGGCCGCCAACAACGACGTGGCCCGCGAGGACTTCCTGGCTCGGCGCCGCGTGAAGCCCCTGACCCAGCAGCACTACGCCCGGGCTGCGGCCGAGGTCCGGCGCTTCGCGATTCAGCATCGGTACCCGCTGGCCACGCCAGCTCAGAGAGACAAGCTGATGGTGGACTACCTGCAGAGCATCTTCCTGGCGGGGGACGGGATCTTCGCCGCGCGGACCGCCCTCTACGGCTACGCGTTCGAGGAGCGGGTCAACCTCAGGGACGTCACGGAGTTCCCCCAGGCCCGCCTCACGCTGAAGGGCTTCGCGAAGGCGTCGCCCGGCGAGCAGAGGGACCCCTGCCCCTGGGAGGCGGCGCTGCTGATCATCGATCAGTGCCTCACCTCCCACTGCCCGCGCCAGCAGCTCGTGGGGGCCGGCGTCGCCGTGGCCTTCGACGGCTACCTGCGCCTCTCGGAGCTGCTCCACCTGAAGGCCTGCGACGTGACCTGCCTCCGCCACTCCGCGACGTCGGCCTACCCCCAGGTCTCGATCACCTTGATGCCGGCCGCCCCGGCGGACTGCCCTCCGTCTGTGACGACGAAGGCCGGCGAGTACGACGACACGGTTACCTTCGGCGGCATCGGCAGCGCCGGCATCTCGCGGCGCTGGGTGGCCAAGCTCCTGCGGGACCTCAAGGCCACCACGCCGCCGACCAGACCGCTCTTCCCGTTCAGCCACCGTGAGTTCGAGGTCGCCTTCCGTGAGGCGGCTGACGCTGCCGGCTTGCAGCGCCTCCGTCTCTGCCCGCACTCCCTTCGGCACGGCGGGGCCTCGACGGATTTTGCGCTGAAGCATCGCTCCCTGGCGGAGGTGCAGCGTCGGGGCCGCTGGAAGTGCGCCGCCAGCGTGCGACGCTATGAGAAGGCCGGCCGCCTCACACGCCAGCTCGCCAAGTTGTCCCGAGGCCAGCTGTCAGATGCCGCTCGTGTCGGCAGGAGGCTGGCCGCCAAATCTTCTTTCGTCTTCGGCGGCCGCTCAGAGAGGTGAGCTGTCCTGCTCACCAGCTCCCAGTATGGGCGGATATGGGCTTTGTTTCAGCATCGCTTGTGTGCACGTGCAATGTTCTGTGTTTCATAGCGATTGCCTCTTGGATGATGGCCGCCTTCGGCGGCACGATGCAGGCTGTGGAAAACACGTTTTCTCTGCACTCGGCTTCGCCGTGCACCGCCGTCTTCTCTGGTCGAGCGGGGTTAGGCTTTCAGCATAATGACTTTCTTTGAAGATAATTGTGCCTCATCTCTCACTTGAGCTCGACCGCAACTGCGTGTGCTCAAGTTCTTTCGGCACCGTCCGCCATCGCCCTCCACCACCTGGGCTTTGTTTCAGCATCGCTTGTGTGCACGTGCAATGTTCTGTGTTTCATAGCGATTGCCTCTTGGATGATGGCCGCCTTCGGCGGCACGATGCAGGCTGTGGAAAACACGTTTTCTCTGCACTCGGCTTCGCCGTGCACCGCCGTCTTCTCTGGTCGAGCGGGGTTAGGCTTTCAGCATAATACATATATATGGTCGACCCCCCCCCAGCACCCCCAGACCACCCAAAAACAAACGAAACACCAACTGATCATGTTCTCCTCCTCCGTTTCCTCCTCCGTCTCCTCCTCGTTCTCCGTTCCTCCTCCCCCTTCTACAATTACACAATATGAAAATACTCTCCCACTTCCCCTGATGGCGTCCCGAAGATATCCGCCCCCCCCCCGCGTACTGTTTTTTTACACACAGGATTCCCGGGAAACGGGTTTTCGCCTGCGTTTTTTTCAAAATGCTGCTGTCGCTGAGGCGCCGGCCTCATTTCTGCTCCCGAATCGTTCCGAATCGTGCTCCCGCTGCAGCGTGGGCCTCATTTTCGGATCGGTGTTTGGCCTCCGTCGTTCAGGATGGCGTTCTCGCCCCAGCGCGGGCCTCTTTCTCGCGCGCCCATCCGCCCGCCACCACCGCGCCGCACCACCACCACCACCACCACCACCACCACCACCACCACCACCACCACCACCACCACCACCACCACACCACCACACACCACCACCACAACCACGCACACACGCACGCACGCACGCACGCGCACCACCACCCACTACGCACGCGCGCGCGGAGCCACAGGTCCGCTACGACACGCGTCCGCGGATAGAGAAAATCAGCGCCATGGTAAGGGATGGGAGGGAGGGGTAGGACGTCAGATATGACGCGAGCGCACCCAGCTTGACAATTACACAATATGAAAATACTCTCCCACTTCCCCTGATGGCGTCCGGAAGATATTCGGCACCCCCCCGCGTATTGTTTTTTTACACACAGGATTCCCCGGAGTTGGGTTTTCGCTTGTGTTTTTTTCAAAAATGCTGCTCTCGCTGAGGCGCCGGCCTCATTTCTGCTCCCGAATCGTTCCGAATCGTGCTCCCGCTGCAGCGTGGGCCTCATTTTCGGATCGGTGTTTGGCCTCCGTCGTTCAGGATGGCGTTCTCGCCCCAGCGCGGGCCTCTTTCTCGCGCGCCCATCCGCCCGCCACCACCGCGCCGCACCACCACCACCACCACCACCACCACCACACCACCAGCCACCCCACCACCACACCAGCACCACACCACACACACCAGCTGCACCCACCAAGCACCACAGCCACCACCAC